CAAAACATGCTTTATATTTAATGACTGGTCAAACTTTTGACACCTGGGGATAAGATCTTTTGTTATGAGGTGGAGGTGTGTCAGTCTAGTATGTCCGATCCTCAGCCGCCTGAGGACGACCTCTTCTCTACGACTGCTGTGTTTGAAGCTGCTCCACGGTTGCACCTCTTTCTATGTTGTCTTTAATTTGCTAGGTACGCTGTTGTCCCACTATATTTGTCATTCTTTTGATATGATTTCCCCTAGAGGTCGTGCAAGTTCAGATGATGTCAAAAAAACCTTACCGCGGCCCGGAAGAGTAAGAGCTTCTTTTACTGCTCTATCAGCCATTTCGTTTCCTTTAATTCCTGTATGGCTAAACGACCAGATAAAATGTACCGTTGTTCCAACTCCATGGATATGGTATCGCGGGGATCTTTTTTTTCTATTTTGCTCCTATGAGTTAACCTTTATACTTACGGAAAAATTTTTGGTATTTATATATAGTCAAAAGTGCATTTTACTATAAAAACCAACTTTCTTTCAGCTAATTAGTACACTAACAAAATTATGGACAATTATATGAAAATTGTCACAAAAGTATCCAGTATCCAGTAATTGGTAGTTAATTTTTTAAGGAGCAAGGCTGGGTATTTGTTTCAGAAAGGTTTACTTATTTTCCTTTTGGAGACAAGTTTGAAACTTTCATTCACTCATCTGCAGCTGGAGTATTACTGGCTATTGCTTAGTTAAAAACCATAGAATTTATTTTGATTTTTTTTTTTTTTTAGTTATAAAATATCTATTCATCCCTGAGTGTCAATTACTGGTGCAATTTAGGCTATCAAAATTTCAAGTTCATCTCAGTAATTCAAAATGATTTGATATTTTTCCAATGCTACACTAATAGTTCGCTTGGGCCAAATTATAATAAAATCAGAGATGATGAGGTTAAAATATTCTTTTGGTTTATTGCATTCAATAATGAACCACTGAAATTTTCTTCTTCTTATATGATGCTATGTCCTGCGTTTTTATAAATTTTAGTTATAAAATAAAATCTTATTTTATAGCTCGAAAACTTTACATCTGTGAAAGCAGTCGAGATTGTCATTTGAAGAATTGTTTGACTTGCTTAATCTCTTTAAACTAAAAAAAGGTAAGAAAGAAAAATCTGAAATGGTAAATTAATTTTATTTAATTTTTCTCAAAAGTGGAAAGAAAAATAGCAAACCATTAATATTTTATATATCATAATAATGAACCATTTTGTAAAAATGTGCAGCGTTTTTATTAATTGTATTAATATTATATTACTCTTGAATTTTCGTCGAAGAAAACCGTAAAACGTTTGTTTTTGTAAAAATATGTAAAAGAAGAATTACCTCCTGGATTGATGTTGTTGAGCGTTGCTTCCAGAATAAACAGTAATTTGATAATGTGCTTCAAAGCTCAACTCTTTTCATGAATATAGATTCCCACGTATAAGCTTTTTATTTGTTTAAATCAACTTTAAATGGCGTAACTTAGATTGTTTTGCAATTGTAATTACATGATAATGTTTTTTACCGAATTCTAAGGAAAGTATTTTACACCTTTTGCATATAATGGTTGTCCTTGCGTAGTGTGTATCAAAGTTCTACGCTCTTGAAACTAGCAGTATCTCGAAAAGAGTTTATATGAATTCACTAATTCATGAAAAAACGATTTGAAAAGTAAATTTTCTGTTAGATAAATCGATTATTGAGAAAGGTTTAGGCTTCTAGGTTCATGATCGATTTAACGAACTCAAAATTTACTTTTCAATCAAACCTATGAAACCGATGAAAGTTTATTTCAATACTTTGTAAAAGTTTTAAAATGTTTACCAAGTATGAAATTTGGTAAATTAACACATGATTAAAATAACTTTTAACTTAACTTATATTTTCTCTAGGGAAACTCATTTGACAACTGAAATGATATATATCACTCAGTTTTTGTGTAAACACTTTTTTGCTGTAACGGCCCAGAGATATATATTACTTAAACACGTAATTTTGGTTTATTATTTTCAATAATTAAACATTATGATCGACCAAAAAATTCAAAAACATAGCCCCCTCTCAAAATTTGAGGTTTCACGTTTCAAGACGCCTAGAATTCAAAAAACGAATAAAAATTTTTTTGTCCGTCCGACGTACCCCGTCCGAACATTTTCTCCGAAACTACTGGACCAATTTTTTTCAAATTTTGAATAAAATCAGAGGTCACCTAAGGATGATCCTCTTTCATCGACATTACTCTCCGCCTTTAACTTTCAAAATGGAAAAACCTGCGTTGCTATAGAATGTAGCTCCTTAACGAATGTACAGATTTCAATGAAACTTCGCTAAAGTCATTTTCTCGACGCCCTTTAAATTTATCTATATAACATACTTCAATGAAAAGAAGCTGGAAAAAAAGTTACGAGGGATGGTAAAATTAAATTCCGAATAACTCGAAAAGTTTTTACTTTTTTATTGATAGTTTTTTAAAAGTTCACAAAATTTGCTAAAAAAAAAAAATCGCTAAAATCGGACAATTAGGAGCAAAGATATGGTCTCCGGTTTTTTTTTTATGTGTTCTACTCCAAATGTTATATCCTTGGTTTGGTTTTTAAATTTTAAATGTGTTACTGAACTAATGCTATTTTTTTTAGCATATTACTAATGATTAAAGAAAAACAGTTTAGTCCAATAATTGGAATCACCTTTTGTTTTTTTTTCTTTGTAACTCGGAAGGTAATGATACTTTAGATGTATAATTGTATGGAGATAATAAACCATTGTGGAATAATTTGCAGCGTTTTTTAACTTTCCTCGACTTTTCGTTGATAAGCTTAGCTATTCACACACTTACACACAAACCATTTTGTGAGACTTTATTTGAACTCAGAGGACTTGCCGTGTAATATCGTTGAAAATTCGATACGTCTTAATACTTTCCCTTACCATATATTTCATATATAGATGAGTTTGTAAGTAATCTGAGGTACGCGTCCCATAATAAAAGACTTAAAATCTGGGCTTTAAGTTTTAATATTGAACGAGTTTCCCAGCAAACTAGTAAGGCAAATTATCCATGTTTCAAGGATTTTGTTTAAGGGTGGAAGAGAATAGTTTGTCTAGTCCATTTCTTCTTAGGACGGGTAGAAGGAATCGTTTCTGGGATTCCACTGGGCTGAGGAAAGGCAGAAGAGAACGATGGCTGAAATATAAAATAAGCAGCTTATTATTTTATATTTCTCAGCACATGATAGTACAAGGTGTGAATCACCAAGATGACTTAATGGCTTACTTGCAACAGTGAGTTTTAACGTATACATGAAGAAACTCCAACTGCATTGTGTAATATCTGTATTGCCTACAAATCAGAGTAGAATAAAAATTAAAATATCTGGTGTGTCCTTTCACACGGCTTTCCTACCTATTTCAGAAAAGTTTTTATAACTTTACATATGTTCATGAAGAAACAATAATAAATCAACTAGATACATTTTCCTGAAAATTGATCAAACTTAAGATTTGAGTACGATTTATTTGATGAACTAAAGCAATGTAAACCAGCTTAAGGTAGATCAGTGTACAAATTTCAATACTTCCTAATATTGATGATCAAAAACTATTTGCCATAGCTTAGTATTGTCAAACGATAATTTCTCTTAAAAGTAGAGGAAATAGTAAAGATTGTGTGATGCGGGCAACAGATTTTCTTACTCTCACTTAGTCATCTTTATTCTCTCATTCACTCCTTTCTGACACCAGGATATGAACCCGTAATCTTACATTGGAAATTGAATAGCTGTAACTTCGTTAATAGTTGTCCAAAATGGACGATTTTTATATGGCTTTTTAGGGGATTTTATTACCTTTCAAACGACAGGCTAAACGACGAAAATTGAAAGAACAATCATTAGAACATTACAGGAAAATTTCATCAAAATTGTTAGAGCCCTGTTTGCGCTACAGTCAATAGAAAAACATGTTTTTCATTTATTGAGCGCAAGCTATTGCGCATGGAGCACCGAATTTCTGTCACAGGCATCAGTAGTCAAAACGCTACAAAATAAAAAAAGAAGCAAAAAAATCAGTTCCGTAGTTCCCGAGAAAATCTTGGCACAGACGGAGAGACAGACCAATGGCTAAAAATGTGTTTTTCAGGGACTCAGAGTCGAAAGCCGCATGTCGTAAATTTGACCCGAATGTAATACTTTCCTTACCTAGTATAGGTAGGAAAGTAATAAGTTAAAAAAATAGAATAAGCTGTATCATCGCTAATACTGGTTCGATTCCGGTGATTTTTTTTTTTTTTTTTTTTGTTTTGTTGGTAATTTAATTACCTTTCAAAAATTTTATTAGAAATTTTACCGTATAATATATACTTAGGGAGTTCGGCCCCATAACATTTTCCTTTTCTTTATAATTTTTTTTCGGGAATTCAGTCTATATACGAAAATTGAAAGAACAATCATTAGAACATTACAGGAAAGTTTCATCAAAATTGTTAGAGCCCTGTTTGCTCTACAGTCTATAGAAAAACATGTTTTTCATTTATTGAGCGCAAGCTATTGCGCATGGAGCACCGAATTTCTGTCACAGGCATCAGTAGTCAAAACGCCACAAAATAAAAAAAGAAGCAAAAAAATCGGTTCAGTAGTTCCCGAGAAAATCTTGGCACAGACAGATAGACAGACCAATGGCTACAAATGTGTTTTTCGGACTCAGGGGGCTCTGAAACGGATAAATCCGTCGAAATCCACATGTTGGAAATTTGACCCGATTGCAATACTTTCCTTACCTAGTATAGGTAGGAAAGTAAAAAATATAGGTAAGTGAAAATAAAAATCAACTTTTTTTAGACTTCCTCTGAATTCTATATTGATTATAGCCGTCAGTTGTAATCAAAATCTATAAAATGGCTGGTTGTGAAATCGTCAACATATTTTTGCAATGAGTGGATAATTATCAGATCATCGATTATTGAGTCATGTTTGTAATCTGATTTCAAACAGCTGCTAATTGATACCGGCGATAAGGCACTCGAAGTGCGACCATCCGGCAGTCAACTTCAGGATGTCAGCGATCCTTCTCCTCTTATTGGCTTCCTCGGTGTGTGGTTTCGATGTGCCCACTTCGGCGGCCAATCGGTTCTTCGACACTCTCTTGGAGAAGTCCTTCAACCGCCAGCCTTCCGACAGGAAGGTCCCTGATCGTACATTCGGCTTCCTCGGAATATCACTTCAACTGGGAGACATCATCGTCTCTGGGCCTAGTATGTTGAAGAGGCAAGGTGACGCCGAAATGGAGCAAATCACTTTTAGTACGCAAGCCTATGGAGCCATCAACCTCGGCAAGATCGATTACGCCATTCGAAACTTAGTCATCGACATCTTCGGCCACAAAATAACCACGGCTGTCACCTTCACACTGGAGGAAGCATCAACAACTTCTCGAGTTTATGTCGTCCAACGTGATAGAGCCAACTGTGAAGGAACTACTTTTGTCTCCGAACCTTCCGGTAAACGTAAGGTACGCTTCCAATCACAAAATGGTCTTTACAAGATCTTGGAGAACGTCGCTTCCGTATTGGTAGATTATCATTTATTATCCGTTGGAGATGTTTTTCATTTTGCCGACCTCACAAAATATCTAGAGAATGAGTTTAATAAGAGTTCTAACGAAATATTTTGTTGAAAATTATTTATTACTTTAGTGATTCATTTTTTATCATTTGCACTGAATTGTAAATATATTCGTCTTAATAAAGATGCTACGTTAATGTAATAAACTTCATTTGTGAATTTATTATATTCCTGAATGCCCCCCCCCAGCAATTATTTTTCAGGTAGATTTTTAATGCATTTTTCTGGAAAATAATATACTTTTGTTATCATGGATGAGTAGTCATCAGAAACGAACACGATTTCTGGGGCTTTCTGATATAATTATGTTATTCCTCTACTCCCTACAATTAGGGACTTTCAGCGGTACAATAGGATCAAGAATCTCCAAACGGTTTTTAAAGTGTTGATCAGTTCTAAATCCCCTTCATCTCGAATTAGAGGGTTGACAATTTGTATATGAAGTAAGTTTAGGTTAGAAGAGTGCTTTTTGGGAATCTCAATATTTTTCTTTCATCACCGCCATTTTCTCGCTGTTTTTCATGATTTTTATTGTTGCACTCTACCATTTTAGTTGAGTTAATGTTGGAGTAATACATTTTTGGGGCCTCAACATTTCTTTTCTCTGTCATTTTAACAAATAAATTCGTAAAATGTTTTATATGATAGTCGTTCACTATATTTTGTTATGCCTCATTTGCATATAAACTGAGGTATTCAAAATAAGATGAAAAAAAAACTTATTAATGATTAAGTTATGCCCTATATAATTTTATTGAAATCCTGTCACCAAAACATTTCACTTATATCAGGTTTGATTTCTATTTACTTCGATTGTCATTAGCCTAATTCGCAATTGACCAATAATGACACGTAATAAACCATTCATCGATTTAAATATAACGTTTGTACTTCACATAGTCATGTTTTCATTCCCATTTTATCTCTTCACTTGAGAGATAAAGCTTTATGTTTAAGGGCCATTCAGTATCTCAAGTGGAATATTTTGTCGCCATTTCGCGAAAGTTTTTGGCAAAATATTAATAATTATAATTTTATTTTTCCAGGCTACGTAGGAAAACCTCGGAATGTTGACATAACATTTGTTCGTACAGTGGTATGAACAACAGTCTTCGAACAAACCTAATTTTTTAAAAATGAGACATGTATCAATTTATAAGTGTTTTTATCTTTTTAATCCTATATATTATTTCTAAAAAGTGTTTTTTGTCGGTACGCCATAACTTCGACAATTCTACATCAAATCCAATGATAGACAATTCATTTTGAAGATATTCTTCTCCTTCACATGCGAAATATAGTCCTTCCCCTCCCCCAAATTTCTGGAAAAAAAAGTTTATAAAGGAAAAGAAACTTTATTTGCGTATAACTCAAAAAATATGCATTTTTTCTCGATTGTACCCACGATATTAATATAATATAATATGATAAAGATTACTAAATTACATACAAAAATAAAATCGCTTAGAAATATGTATAATTTAAACACTTTGTATTGATGGAGGGTGTATTAATAATCGGACAATTATTAACAAAGATCAAAGATACAGTCCATTAGTTTTGGTATAATTAATAATTTATTTCTCTTTAAAGACATTGTATTTACTATTCTACTAACTGTTTTTCCTCGCTGATATATTAATTTTATTGTTTCTTAAAGGCATTTGTTTGTTCTTACATTTTATTTTTACTTTCACTTACCTATATATGTAATATATAGTAAGGGCAAGTATTGAGTTTTCGATGGAAATACACGTTTTAAGGTACCCTGAGTCCAAATAATCAAGTCCCGAAAAATGGTCTGCGAGTCTGTGTGTGTGTATGTTAGCAGTCAAACTGAAAAACGAAAAGTACAAAACTGATATTACGTATTAAAGATAAGTATATGCCTCGTTTTTTCTTAAAATCGACTAATCGGTTGTGCCACTTTATATTAACGGTGAAAACATTTTTACAATTTTATCAAAAACGGCTCTAACGATTTTGATTAAACTCGGTGTATCATTGTATAATTAAGTGGTCTTTAATATCATTTAGGTCTTATCCCCGTTGATGTCACTTTACAGGGCTTAAATGTCCAATGTTTATCTGCGTCTTTCTCTAAAGTACCTTTAATATAGTTTCATTTAAATAATTGACTATCTCTTATTATTAAGAGTTACGAAAAAATGCTAAATATAACTTTTAAAAGATATTGATAATTCTATAAAGGAGAAAAAAATAAAAATGCTTATTCAGGTCGAAAATGAATCTCCGGAAATGCTAGTCAGAAGGTATACGTATAATATATCGTTGGAAAGCTGAGAATTTTAGGAAAAAAACATATCTAATATAGAAAGTTGTACAAGGTAACGGAGAGTGGCAACAAAATTTTAAATAAGAGTTTTTGCAAACTAATAATATTTAACGCAAATCGCATGTTTTCAAGGAAATTAAATGAAATTTACCAACTAAATGTAAGCTTTTAAAATATTTTTAAGTTTGAAAAAGTATTTAAAATCAAACTAATCATGGCAATGACATTGTTTTAAAAAACTATTTCATTGTACTTGTGTGGAAGAAGAAGTAAAATATAAAATCATTTCATGGGTGTATAAAGCATATGTTCATAACCTTAAATACATTTACTGTAATTTAATAACTCTAGATCTGACATTATATTTAAATATTTAGTTATATATCTTCCGTTTGTTCCGAAAAATCATCATATAACTTTTTAGAAAATTAAATTAGTGAATAGTTTGATGAAATTTCCTTTTGTGTTATTCCAACAGTATCCACTTACAATTAGTGAGACAACTTTTGACCTGCCTATGACAGACAATGCAATTCTGACAAAGACAAAAGTAATCTCTTAATTCCGTTTCAGTAAACTTTGCGATGGAAAATGATAGTTTAGTCACTAATAGTCGTACAATCCATAATAAACGGATCGCGCATTCCTTAATCAACGGATCGTACAATCCATAATCAACCGGTGATATAATAAATAGAACTTTTGTTATTTTAATGGTATTTATGATTTGTTAGATGTAATTGTTTAGCTTTAGCTCAGTTAAAAATGCAATTCAAAAATTTTAAAATAACCCGATAAAATAGGCCGGAAAATAATTTCTATTCAAAGTTGAGCGGTAAGTGAAAGTTGTGTGTTGCGCGCACCAGTTTTTGTTTTAATAATTTAGAAAATCCCATGGTCGAGGCTTTATTTTGTCTTTATTATGTTTCCAGTCAGCGTTTAAAAATAGGTCCTAGCTAAGGAATTCGTACAAATATTTTATTCTATTATGTTAAATGGAATACTGTAATCGACCAAGGAAAAAAATATAAATTCCTTCCTTAAATAATACATAGGATGTACTTATTTCCATATTTTTTTTGCTATTTCTTCACTAAAGAAAATTTTCTGCGAATTGTTCGCACGGGCCAACTAGTTGTAAACATATTTAACCTTGTAGAATTGTAAATGTAAGATGTATTTAAATTAGCATAGCTAGCTTAAATTAACAACAATCACTGGCGAATCCAGGATTTAATTTTTGAGGAGCTTCAGCCAGAAAGCTTTTTTTTATATGTTCATGTAACGATTATTAATTTTAAATAAGAAAAACCTCCTAACAACCTATATAAAATGGTGTTCAAGTGATTCTTGAAGTCCAATTAAATGTAATTACACGAACTATAAATATTTTAGGTATAATTATTTATAGTTTCCTAAGAAAGGGTTATATTTTCCCATTTTGGAAGGCTTCATCCGGAAAGCCTCCCTCTTCTAATTTCACTCAAGACATTTCAAATTTTCAATACAAATTTATTCCAATTTTCGTTTTCTTTGGCAAAAATAAGTCACTTTTCTTGTTTAGAGGTTGAAAAAATGGTTTTATTCTGGTAACAATTCCTTTAAGGCTAAATGATAAGAGTTTTCTTGTGACCAAGGAGGGCGGAACTCTGGTCCTTTTGGTTCTTTCTCTGCTAGACTTTTAGCGGATGTGCAAACACAATAATTTTAAATGTTATGAGAAGGAGTTAGTTGAGGGTGCGGTCAAATAAATAAAAAAAATTAAAATATATAAATAATTTTAATTTTTGCCGACGTTTCGACCCACTTTGCAGGCCGTCTTCAGGGCGTTGGATGTGGCACTGCGGGAGGCAATTGAAACACTCATTTGCAAAGTGGGTCGAAACGTCGGCAAAAATTAAAATTATTTATATATTTTAATTTTTTTTATTTATTTGACCGCACCCTCAACTAACTCCTTCTCATATCATATCAACGGTCAACCATCTCTACATCAATTTTAAATGTTGTTCAACAACAGGACTGTGTTCTTAGACCTGCCTAGACGTTTCAAGTCTCCAGTTTGGCTGTTTTTTTTAACACTTTTTTCGTGACATAATGAATACTTACTAGAAATAGAACCTTCTTTTTTGAATTTCCCTGATTCTAAATTCTCGTTGGTACAAAATTTTAATATTATTTTCTGATCAGTCGAACAATAGTTGATGCTCCGTTCTATGTAACCAACCAAACCCTACACCATGACCTTAATATCCCATTTATCCTAGATCGTATCTCTGAAACATTCTCCAAATTCCATCAAAACCTTCCATATCATCCAAATCCATTTGCACAATCCCTCTCTAGCACTATTCATCCCTACAATCCTCCTCGAAGGTCGAAGCGGCAGTGGCTCAGAGAACTGTTGTAAGAATATATTGGAGTCCTGGCAATGGCCAGATCCTCTACTCAAGCCATGTATGTCTGGTGATAGCGCCTCTCCTCAACTTCCATTGGTCCTTAATACCAGTGAGAGGCGCTGGGATCTAGAGTTCTGCCTTTCCTGTGTATTTAATGTGCATGTATGTACTGAAGTATTTTGATCAGTTTAGTTTCTTTTTGTTTAGTTATTTATATTTACTTTTGGTATTATTATTTTGTTGTTTCTTTATTGTGCATAGTGTAAATGAGCTACTCTTTATCACTATTACTACTGTCCTTAAATGTTACAGATTGTAATATATCTTAATAAAGAAATAAAAAAGTATATATCATTTTCTGAAATAAGAGCAACATTAAATTGTAAAAGTAAAATGAAATTATGAAAAATGAAACGTTTAATCAAATTTCGAAATAGAAAAATGAAATTA